GAAATCTTCATACTAAGAATCGCCCTGATGACGGAGGCAGTATGACCTCTGAAACGTTGGTAAACATCTACCATACTACACGGCGCAACAACCCAGATGACAGAAATCTTCATACTAAGAATCGCCCTGATGACGGAGGCAGTATGACCTCTGAAACGTTGGTAAACATCTACCATACTACACGGCGCAACAACCCAGATGACAGAAATCTTCATACTAAGAATCGCCCTGATGACGGAGGCAGTATGACCTCCGAAACGTTGGTTAACATCGACCAGACTACACAGCGCAACAACCCAGAAGACGGATATCTTCATACTCACCGCTGTGAGAACCTCAAGTTCTTTGTACATGATTGTAATGCTGGAGGAATTATAGTCGAACATTCTTTATATAGATTGCACCATTTAAAACGCCACCCAACAATCACGTACCACTGTACAAACTGAAATCTGAATCAGGTCCACCACCATGTGTTAGACTCTCGCAACCTCGCCCTTAACACGAGTTAAGGTTACCCGGGCTTCTCAGCTGTACAGGTGCTAACACGGGTGGATGCTTTGCCTCCGAGAATGTGCTAGACATTTTCAGCATCTACCACGAAGCTGTTCTTTAAGTTTTTCGTAATAAATATAAAGAACCTAATTTGTCTTGTTATATTGATGTTACCGATTCTTACACGTCCTGCTGTAGACAGATTTGAGTTTTAAATGGATCGTTCTGTACTTCTCGTCTTAACCGTTATTCCTCTGATTTGTATGTCGCAAAGCAGTCTCTCGCCTTCCTTCTAGCACCCTTTTAAACAATTCTCCTTCCAAGAAACTTGGGATGCATCAGTATTAATTATTTAGATTGCCGTCTGATGCTCTCAATAAATATATCGCTCATTAAGAAACAGAATAGAGGATTTAGCTTGAGAATGTCGGTAGATTGTTTTGAAGCTGATAAGACGGGATACTGTAATGAATAATTACTTAATGAAGGCATAAATTTTGATTTGTAAACGAGTCCGTTGATTGGGAGTGATGATCACAAAGGATGGGAATGTTACTGTGTATAATTAGCGTTCTGCCTACACTGATGCGTCTTCTAAACCCCGTTTTAATCATTAATAAATGGGTAGGATGACGTCACAGGCTGATTAAAGCGTCTTTCAGATGGATGGCTCAGGAGACGGACAGATTGTGTTGATACCACCTATTCCATGTTTGTCTGTAAATGAGTACACCCAAAGCCAGATGAAAGCTATAATCTCGGCTCCTTCATAAAGGGTGGATCAAAGTGAAAGTTTCTTTAAAATTGTACTTGATTGGCTCTGACTTCCAGGACAAGGAGCAGAATTTACTCTGATTTCAATAAATAGAGTTTAATCTCGGGATATTCTAACAAGAATATTCATACGTACGTCATATAACTTCTAACACAGTAGACAGTTGTCTGTGTAACTAGTCAAATAAGCTTATAACTTACATATCTAACCAGCCGTTTTCCGAGTTTCTTTCCACGAAAACTCTGTACATTTTTCTTCAGCCGTCAAATCTACATGTCTAGTTCATAATATTATCATTGATTTCTTTACCTTAGAATTTTAGTTGAATTGTGTATACCGTCGTAAAATTAATTTCTGTATAATATACCAAACTGTCCATTTATTTCATTTGTTTAGGAACAGATATATTTGTGAGAACGGTTGTAATTTATGGTTTTCCTTGAAAAAGAAACCACATTTTATAGCCATACCAAATAATTCCATGGAACAAAGTTTTTTTTCTGAGAAGCTAGTCGAGAAATTCAACCTCTTTTATGGAATCGCAGAGGTTCATTGCAGCTAGCGAAGTTATTTTACGTATATAAATAGTAATGTATATTTATAGTACAAGTGTACACCCTTTATACACATTAAAAACATTACATTTACATGTTTGCCTACTTTATTATCATCATTATGTTTCCTTATTAGTAGGTACATAGTTTAACGAAAGGAAATTAGTGACTAATTTGTATTTATGGTAAATTTCATAATATTTTATGGGGATTTGTATTTGTCTGAGATCTGAGTTGTTCGCGGCGGTGAAGATGTTGATGTTGTACTTTTGACTTTCAACGCCATGTGGACCTGTAGGTTGAATCTAATGTTTCGAAGGAATATATTGCTTCCACCTTCAGGATTTAACAAGAAGTTTTGTATTTTTTCTATTTGACTTTTTCTACTTTTAGCCCATGTTTTCTGTAGTAAGTCTTGATATAGTCTAACGTACGTGCTTTCCTTTGCTGGTATGAAGTTTCGTTTAATTTGCGCTGCTGTAGTATTCTGTACTCTTCCGTCTGTGTTCCAATGCGCCGTCTAATGCCGTTCAGGTTTGCATTTCATTTACTATGATCAACTTGCTCCGCGGTGCAGAGTTCTCTTTCAAAGACTGTTGACTCAGGTGCAAAAGATATTTACCGCTCTTACGGAATAAGAAGTATAATCACTGTTTTTACGAGAACCCATAAATGTGCCGTATCTGAGCCAGTATAATCTAATCCACTGTTTTTCAAGATCCGTTTTAATGACAGCATCTCGTCTATCAACATTTCCGTAAGGGTTTTCGACAGAAATTTTGTACACGTGATTCAGGTAGGGTCGTCCTTAGGGAGACGTGGCCGCCCCGGGTTCAACTCTTCGGAGGAATTCTCGCATCAACATTACGATGTATGAAATATTCCTCGAAGTTTTGCCTTAATCGCCCAAGATGTAAAAATGTAACGTAAAAAGGGAACATGAATTAAAGTGATAAGACCTTTTCTGAAGATGGTGTAATAGATTTTGATTTGTCGGGCGTTTGGAGTTCTCCATCGTCTGATACAAAACACACAACGTTTCAAGGACTTGATCAGTCCAGTGATTGGGATTAGCTCATTCTAATGGAACCCACAGAGTTGGTGTCCCCTTCACTACACCTGAAGACAAGGACAGATCTCTCGTGATTTGTCCCATTTAACGGCATAGAAATACCGTCGTTACGTAACGTAAAAATTAATAAGTGATGTTTCGAATCAAACTTAGCAGTAATCTACTACATTTGTAAGAAATTCTCTGTCTCTGTTGATGGAACGAATGTTGGAATCGAACGCCAGCCCCATTCGATTCAGGTAACCGCATTCGATTTAGTTTTTGAAAGTTTTCAGGGAGAGAAGAAGTAAGATATACACTGGAAGAGAGGGGTGGTTGCTGAGGGTATGTGAAGAGTTTTGAAGTGGAGACTTGACGGCGGTAGCTGTGGCTGAGAGAGGGAAGGGACGCGACAGAGGGAGGGTATGTGGTTCACTTGCGACTGCGGCATTGAGTGGTTTAGGGGTGATGTGGAGGGGAAGAGAGAGTCAGAACGCGATGTTCGTGGTGGTCTCAGTAGAGCAACGTTATATATCGTTCGGGGTTGTGCTGTGATCGGTACTACTGTAGTGTTCTTTATAACTGTCAAAAGAGGCTAAACATCACATCGTCGCACTGTAATCCTGTTGTAATATATATATTTACAAGCTAGACTTCAGCAAAGATAATGTTTGTGCTTATTTGACTTCAAAGTGGCAATTATAAATATATTTCTACTGTTACAGAAAAAAGTTTTGCATAACAATAAAAGCGAAGTGATATTTGATATGAAATTATTATAATTTTAAGAAACAACTCTCAACAGAATTTATATAAAATAAATTTTAAACGATTTGTACATAATAGTACATAACAATGATACTTATCAGATATTCCTATTTGACGGTTAAAGAAAGTAGAATGTTTTAACCGATGAAACGTGTTTAGTCGCCTCTAAATTTTGATTATAATATTAACAAGGGGAAGTAGAAGGAAACAACATTAAAGAGTTTCTAAGTTGACTAGAATTGTTGGTTATATTAACAAATTTAGTGCTGGTGATTTGTGGTCAGTGTTGTGTGTCTTGTTGGTGTTATTACCTGGGTTGGAGAGACTATTACATTCAACTACATAACACAGGTATTCTTATATAATAACACTACACGCATGCTGTAATTGTTTCTTGTTTTGTTGTGTTGTATTATCACGTGGCATTGCTTTTAAGTATAAACAAACCACGAAACCAAATTATGAGTAGTATTTAAAATTTACATGTTTCAAGTTTACAAGTGAATTAAAAATGAACTCTATAAAATATTTTGTGGGATGATAGGATTTTAAGAACATAGATAAGAGGGAATAATTTGGTGATAGTTAAATAACTGGATGTAGGTTTAACGGTGTGTAAACTGCTGAATCTCAAGGTTTGGTAATAATTCGTACCAGTTCAAGCTTGGGAAGTTTTCACTACAGGCATCTGTAATTATATTTTTAATACTTGCTAGGAAATTTCTGGTAAAAATAAATTTAGTTGAAGTTTGAAAAATACATGTTACACACTCGGTTAACTTTCTATGTAGGATTTGAGGTTTTCACGGCAGTGACTCCGAAGATGGCTGTCTTCTGGGTTGTAGCGCCCTGTAGATTGGTAGAAGTTTACCATCGTTTCAGAGGTCCTTGCTGCCTCCATCATCGCCCTGATGATGGAGACGCTACAACCCAGAAGACAGCCATCTTAGTTAACTTTCTACTATCGAATAATTTTAATTGAATGTGGTTTATTTAGATTGTTTTCAAGAAGTCTTGAGAAATTCCCCTGCACAAGACTACTGTGGAACAATGACTTCTGTATATCACTGAAGAGAAATTACAGTTATTGTTCTAATTGTAATAAAGCAGAAACACATTAATGAATACATGTTCAGTAATAGTCAACCATCTGCTAGGATTTCATAGTTGATTTACATTGTAATAGCGACATAGTAATCTCTCATGTTCAACACACAATTCCATTTTGTAGGCGGTCAGTGGACGGCTTCTCACTTCGTATACCTTGGTTCGATCCCAAGGCACTCTGTGTGAAGTATGTGATGGACACATTGGTAGTAGAGCAGATTTTTGTTTTTGAGTACAAAATTTAGTACGAAATTTTGAAGAGAATAGACCAGATTAATCTGGCTTAGAGTACAGTGGTTGGCTCTTATGAATACGGTAATGAACCTTTGTTTTTTTAAGAGGGCAATTTCTTAGGTAGTTGAGCGTTTGTATTCTGCTCTATGCATTATTAGGGTGATCATTGCAAGGAGTATAAAATGTAATGGACAAACGGTGGAAATGAGAAATTCATACAAACCTTTAGTCGGAATTCTTAAAGGTGGATGCACAGGCGTAGCAGATATATTTTTCTGTGAGAATGTTAACAAATTGCTGGCATTAATCATCCTTATTCAATAAAAATAGATAATTTTTTGAACACCTATTTGAGCTATCAGTACTTTAAAAAATCTCCCTGTAAGTTGCAGTTAGTAATCTCTTGTGAAATCATTCATTTTATTGTTCTGTTAGCCGTTAATCGTCGTATTAAATGCTTGTCTGAAAGGGTTCTGTTTACTTTGTTATCAAACGCCTATTGTTTCTGGCTTAAATTATAGAATGTTTCAAATGAACGCCACAGTACCTGTCAGCGGAGTGTTTTCTGTCCGTAGCAGGAAACTGTTTCACACAAATTTGTAGAATACGCACCATGAGGTGTAATTAATATCGCATGTATGTGGCTTCTCTCATAATAAGGTAAGATAATAGATTTAGGGTTTGTGAGAATACGGTGGTAAGGAGAATATTTGGACTTAACATGAATTTAGATAATTACAGATTGAGAATTATCAAAATTTTACTCTTTATCAAGAGTTGAAATCACGCAGAATTAGGTGGGCAGGGTAAATAACACGCTTTGGGTAGAAAATAAATGTATAAAAATTAATAGAGGAACGTGAAGTGAAGATGCCACTTGAGGTGGAGGTTAGACATAGACGACAGGAAGATCTTAAATTAAATAGAATGAAGGAATATGAACTGGAATAATCTGACTCTTAGAGGAAACACGTGAATTAATCTTCGGGTTCTATAGAAGGCTGGAAATTTATTGACTATAAATGCATAAGAATTTACCAAGGAGTCCTCTTCAAGGACTTAATTAGTTCAAACGTACAGTACGTGTTATGCTTGTTAATGTATACATTCATGTATTAAATACAAGAGTGAAAGGCATTCTAAAGGAAACTGATTGAAATTATGCCTGATCCAAATTACGATACACATTTCATTTCTTACATTCTGAATTGATTTAAGAACTGTAGATTAGTATGAGCCATGATTTGAGACGAGACCGTGGGAAGCAGCTAAGCTCAGTTCTCCCCGAATTCTTTTTTCCACTCACAATTAATTAGGTTGAACGTGCACGAATGTTGGACTTCAAACGACACTGTTCGTTCCTCTTATTGTAACTGAACGTGTGAAAGGAAGCACTTCTAAGGCTTTAAATTTGTTGGCCGTGTAATATTTTTATCCGATTTTTTATAATGTTATTTATTTGTGGTTCTCAACGACGCTGTCAATTGTCACAGACTACAGAGGTTCTGTTGAAAGGGTGGTTAATTAATAGTGAATATATTTATTTTGTACAGTCTATACACAAACGTTTGAAGTTTATTGGTGTTGTAAAAATTATATAATATTAAAACATTTTGTTGTGTAAAATATTATATTAGCGCTCTTAATCGTAAATACGATTTTACATTATATTTTTTAGCGCTTTTTATTAAAACGACATGTTTCGACGGGTAATACCGTCGTCTTCAGGTTTTTATCAATTTAAAATATTTTAAAAACTATTAGATATTTGATGCAATATATTATAATGATCCGTAGTTCTGTTTGTAGCTTTCCATTTTCATGGTAAGTTGCTTATTGTAGTCAGACGTTATATTTATCTGTGGAATTAATGTTTAATTATTTTCTTGGAATGAGTATGAATTGACATAGGAAATAAATAAATAATCGTATAAATATATATTAAAAATAGTAAACGAGGAACATACCAAGAGATGTTGTGTAGAGTAACGTTTGTGTATAGACTGTACAAAATAAATATATTTAATCAAACACAAACATGACGCATATAAGATACAAATTAATAGTGAGTTGGCTGGGAATATCTTGTCCAGCTAAGCAATTATCATATTTTAAAGGGGTCTTTCCTCAAGGAGTTAGTTGCTTTATTAGTAACTGAACTTCATAGCCAATGAGTAATAAAATCTAAAGACGACCTTCACAAAATTTGAGTTTACGTTGGAATACACCTTTCTACGTTGTCCAAAATTTCGTATCAGCAGAGTCTTTCACTTCGTTTGAAATAAACCCTTTTAATATAAATGACCGTTGTGATGCCTAGTTTTTCGCTGACTGCATGTTTAACAAATTGGTTTATTTTTGTTCATTTTACGTCTGCGACGAGACTATAGCAGCACGTTCAGCACCAGCAGGCGGTCCACACGTGTTGTCCCTCTGTGTATCTCGGCTGATAGAATTACTGAAAACATACTACGAAACCCTTACGGTGAACACTGCTGTACCAGGTGTCACTCCAGACTAGGAAAACACGTCACAAAGTAAACTTTCCCGAGGGACTTCTCACACAATGCTTTTCTGTTTCGTAACTCCAGCTGATAAGCGCCGAGGAGGATGTTGAATGTAAAACAGCGCCAGTAATAGGATGGGGAGATTATTTGATAATTACGAATTTAATTGAAGATGGTTGTCTTCTTGGTTGTTGTGTACTATGAATAATTTTAAGTTTGATTTAAGCGTCATGTAAAGTATTTGGTTATATTAGATCGACAGGAATTCAAATTGAATTTACAGACAATCTTAGCTTGGATTTCCAATATCAAATTTCTTCAAAGTTTATTTTATAGTTAAAAGAAATAAGACATGCCAACTTAAAGAGAGTGAAATACGACTTTTTCTCTAAGGGTTAGTTATGTTCACCTTTTGCAAAGAACTCACGGGGACTGACACGTATTCAACTCTGTGCCAATACATCCCACAGGCTGAACACAGCCAGTACTAAAGGTTGCTTTTGGATAAGATTCTGAGGCAGTTTAGACAAGTTCACATTTTCACAACCTATTTCCCAAAGATCCACGTTAAATATACGAAATGTTTCAGTACTATAAAACGTAGTTGCGAAGCTACTGGAGTATGAAATTAAATCCTTTGCCTCGAGAGTTGAACTCAAACATGTGGCAATATAGAACAGAACAGGGAGTGGCGTTTATGTCAACCGTGTTAGCCCGACTAACACTTTGAAAAAAACAGTCTTTTGTCATACTTTTATGGGTCAGTAGTATTCCATACACTGGAACACGTCAGAACGCTTGCCGCGAGCGTAAGCCTTAACTAGCTGGCTAACAACGTCTGGCTGGCTGGCAGGAGCTGGTTAACGATGTATTTTAAATTTAATATTCTGCTTATATCTTCCAAGTTGGTATTTTCTTCAAGTTTTCTGACCAAAATTTTGTAGATATTTTCCACTGCCACCACGCGTGTTACATGTTTCGCCTTTCAGGGTTTTCGTAATATAAATGACCGATCTCTCACATATTCGGTTGTTTGCAGCCCCCGTTCACTTCATCCCAGGCCCAAATATTCTTCTCAGTACCCTGATTTCAAATACCCTCTTAATCCTCGCGAACGGCAAGGAAGTGCTGTTCTTAAAATTATATTAAAAGAGATGACATTTTCAACTAGTGCTCAAGCCCTGTGTTTTATTCTGGTTTGCCCATCATTCCAAATAAAAATTCATGCGTATAATTTCAAGAAAACTATATAACAGGCAGTATTTCTATAGTTCTTGATGTCGAACTAAAATATCGTATCGTCCATGTCCATTTTAATTAACGTTTTTCTCAGTGGAATATACAACACGGCAAGTTATGATAAAATATTAAAATACGCGGTAATTTTTCGTCAATTTGTATGAGAATAACATAGAAGTGCAGAATTCTTTTTATCTTTGTAATTAAGTGTAGAAATGGAAACAAGTAACATGAAAATGTTAAGTGAAGAAATGCAATACCACGTTTTATCAATATAGGCCGGTATTCCGTATTTACGACTTACGTGTGGAAATAATGTAATTTCCGTCTTTTAAATTAAAGTCGTTTCACGGAGATTGTTGTTGAAAGAAAATTACATAACTCGCATATGTTTTATTACGCAATGAATTAGCATAATGATATGTGTATTTTAGTTGCAGTGGAAATAATAACGCTCAACTCAGATGTCGACTTTTTTCTTCGTCCCAACAATCGATATGCAAGGTTGCGTGTTACTGAGTTTAACCGTGAACAGTGTGCAATGTTTCAGCTGATTTGGAGTCTCCGCTGTATAACATCTAATCATAAACTCGTAGTAATTGCTTATTATCTACTAATACTTCCACGTAAGCAATGGGAACGTATTTATTGTGTAGTCAACAAAATATACTTTAACTCCGTAACATAAACCATCTTTTAGAAAACACTATATTTCAGAATAATGTATCGATATGTATACTTTTCCCTGTGCGTTGTGTATTATTTGCAGCTGGTCTGTCACGAATTATGTAAGTGAGTCGACATTTACATTTGTGTCAACATGTGATGTAAAATGTAATCTTTAATTGAATGGAGTCGTGTATTCTTTTGTTCAATGAAGTGTATAGAAAACCAGTCTATTTGCTTGTTTAAATATATTTTTATCGGCGTGAAAGGCTAGAGATGTTTAATATTTTATATTGTTTTCATAATTTATTGGTTGTAGTAATAAGGTCTAGTTTGGTAGAATGGTCTTGTGTCCCATTCATTATTAATCCGCGGCTTCCGAGTTGAACGTTACTCTCGAGTTAATCAGTCTAAAGAGAAAAGTAAAAATATTTATGCTTGAAACATACTCCAACAAAAATAATATACATCGCGGTTTTAAATGTAGACCTACATAATAAAATTTTTTGGGCTGTTAATAAAATGTGCCAAGATATCAATAAGTTGGTTACGAATGACCAGAAGAACGTGTTATTGACGTTCTTGCACCCAGAATATTAAAAACAACATCAAAGCCGTGAAACCGATTGTCAGCCTATGCCTTTTAGTCTATTAATAATGTTACTAATGATTTATGTTATGTCTGGTCGGAAATTGTAGTATGAGATTTTTATGGCCATGAATTGGCATGCGGTCTTGTACATTCTTTTTGCCTTATTGCAGTTAAAGTTCTTACCCCATTTATAAAGCCTATACATTTAAGTGTGTACATTCTTGAGCCTCCCAGACGCTGGTATCGTAGGTTCGAACCTCGCTTATGGCATGGGCTTTCCTCAGTCCCTGAAAGACTTGGATAGTATGTAGGATTTGAGGTTTTCACGGCGGAGGATAGTACTTTAAATCTATACCAAATCATCTTTCTTCCACATCCTTCCCAATTAATTGTTTGTGAATCATATCATCATCGCTGTATAACCTGAGTTATTTAGAGTTTCGTTAAATAGACCAGAATGAAATAAAAACATACATTTGAAACGATGAGCCTTGTATTTGTGTCGTTGGAGTTCTACGTGCTAGCCAGAGCAACAGAGAGAAGGACAAACATTAAGAGAGAAGCGATAAGATTTCAAAGTGAATTACTCACGCAAATAGACGATTATGAGAAAGAAACCCTTCAATTAGGCCATTCGGCCAGTAATACAGCTTTAT